AGTTTCTTGTAGTAGACCAGTGTATCTATCTATGTTCCAAATCCCATCCTGTTTGGTTGAAAATCAAAGGAGTCATAGCTATCTAAAGTTTAAGTCAATCAGATTGCAGCGCACGTGCATGCACGTGTTTTCATGATAATTGCTATATATCATGTTGTAGGATATTCTAATGCATGGCTATTTTCAAAATTTCAAAGGATTTCGTCAAAAAACAAGAAAGATATTGAGACTTTAGTTTCAGCCAATCAGAGCAAAGCGCACGTGCATGCGCGTGAGATCTTGCTATTTTGACCATGTCATATTGTCTATGCTACTAATATATCCTTATGTTTTAAGTTTCAAAGCATTTCATCAAAAATTTAAAAAGTTACGCCTATATCAATTAAATCGGTCATTTCACATGTTGCACGTGCACGCTCTTGCAAGCACGTGCGCGCAAAATGACCTTCGTTCCGCAAATCTACATAACATGTCTACTGACCCTAAAAACATTTCACCTTAGTCGGATGTATAGATTACGAGATCATTCCCGGACAAAAAAGTACCCAGGAAGAAGAAGAAGAAGAAAAATAATAATAATAAGAAACAGAGTAAAAACAATATGTTCCCCAACTTCGTTTGGGGAACATAATAATAATAAGAAACAGAGTAAAAACAATATGTTCCCCAACTTCGTTTGGGGAACATAATAATAAGAAACCGAGTAAAAACAATATGTTCCCAAACTCCGTTTGGGGAACATAATTGTATCATCTTAATATTTCATCAATTATTAAATATAAATAAATTGATATTCTTCAATTATTAAAAAAAAAAAAACAAATGATTTTGTTCTTCTGTGTACAGGTTTCAAATTGTAAAAAACTTAATAGTAAATGTTGTATGGCTGTTCAGATTTTATGTACAGTTAGAGCGGAATGTTAAAGTTTTCCTAACTTGTGTACAATCCCTTTGACAAATTGTCAGGAATACACAATAGTAACTGTATATGATTACAAATTGACGATCAGTGATTATTGTTTCTTATTCCTACAAGTGTATTCTAAGTAAACATACTCAACTGGCTTCTAATTAGTCAGCTGTGACTGGCACCACCCAAAACAGAGTGACACATACATATTTGCAATACTATTAATTTTTAAATTTCAAAGGATCATAATAATATAATTTGGATTTGATCTCTTTTGGATAGACATATAATAAAAATAATATACATGTAATTTAAAGAAGAAGTACATTTAAAAAATCTAACCACCGTACAAAAGTATAATAATTTTCAAATGAATTTTAGTCATTTTTTTAAAAACATTTTTACCAATAATAATATACACATTTATTACCATAAATGTAATATAAAGATCCATTTTCTGTATAAACAATAGCAAATTCTCAAAATAAAAAAAAGTGCCGTTTTGACTTTTCTAAAGCCGTTTTGACACTAAACCTACCACAAGGTGTTGGGGTTAAAAAATAGAGGAAACATCATCTACTGCTTGGCGATGTCACTTTGCCACGAAATTCATAATTTTTTTCCCTGCCAAAATTGGTTGAAATTGCTTCAAATGTGACCTAAAAGATAAAATGAATCCTGAAAATGCACAACCTCAAGGTGTTGGGGTTAATAAAACATCATCTATGGCGATGTCACTTTGCCACGAATTCCCTCGTATTGCATGTTGCTATCCGGTTGTTTATCCAGTTTTTAAAACAAACATTATTCTCATAAATCATTTTTTAAAATTTATTTCCTTGTCCTTGCTGCATAAAAATGGGTTGACTCCAAAAATTTCTTAATGCCAGGAAACGATAATTATGCCATTCCGATTGAAAACAGGGAACATATTATTTGTGCGTCTGAGAAAATTGTCCGAGGATTTTTTTGCTGGGGTAATCTTGCATTCAAAAAAAGATTTTGACCAGCCGTATTCATGCAGTGAACATTTTAAGTTTCAACATGGCGTACGAAAAATGAACAATTTTGTACATGTCCTGGCGTGTTCTCACTGATTTCTTAGACAATCAAGGAATTTTTAGAGAAATGACAAACAGTTAATGTTGATTTGAAAATCGCATTTAAAATTTACAAACTGCCAATTGTTACTATGGAAACAGATGAAAAGTAAAAATTGCTTAACAATGATCGCGAACTATCCAGCCAATATTATGAAACTTTTATGGACAGTTTATTACATTCTGTCAGAGAGATATTTCTGTTTTAAAGATTGATCTTTTCCAAAAAAGTTGCCATAGGAATGAAACAACATCAGAGGTATCATCCATGAAAGTTTGGTACATGTAGGCTTATGGTTATTTGGGAATTGACCAGCTCCTAAAACTTAGCCGGGACGCCGACACCGACGCCGGGGGTATAGCATAAGATCTTTGTCTGGTATTTTGTCTCAGGATATCAGCATATGCAAAGTTACTTCAATTCCCTTCTTTACGTAATCATTTTCATTCTGATTACTTTACCCAGTGAATTTTTTTTACCACAAAACAAACAACATAATCATATGGGCATCATTTAAGGATATCCGATCCTTATCCAGGAAGGATAACTTTAAAAAATATTTGTTTAAAAAAGTCTAAAAATTAAGCTTAAAGTTAAAATCTTTCTTTTCTGCCAGAATTTTGAATTTTATGCATTTAAATATGATTAAAGATTCTTTGAAGTCTTAGAAACGGTCTTGTAAAAAAAAAATGGCATTTGTACTTCATGAAGTATACAAAAAATGCATGATTATAGAAATCGAATTACATACTCTGACTTACAGTGTAACTGGCACTATCGTTAATTATATCAACTTCCGCTTCCTTCCACTGATCCCCTTGATCCCCTGACATGGTCCAGACCTTGACTCCATTTCGCAAAACGTTCAGTGTTCCCATACTGGCGCCATACATGTGATACCAGAAAGTCAAGCACCTTGGGATTGCTTTTGATGCCAAAATGTGGAAGATTAGTCAATGTTTCATATCTGAATTTGTTTTACTGTTTCTCGTATATGCTAAACATTATAAAATCAACTATTAAAAGATGAATGTGTAAATCATTTAGTGTCATAATTTAAATAAAAGAAAAATAACGTTATTACTGACGATAAGCGATTGTAAGGTAACTGCTGTAATTTTGACATATGATTTTTGAAGAATCTTGGTATACCTGATATTAAAGGTGTTTCATAATGGAATTGAGTTCCCGTTGTTACAGGACTGGAAGTTTCTGCATACAAATAATATGTTCCAGTCTTAGCTGCCGATGGACCTGTGCTACTAGATGGCGTGCTACCCTGTGAAATGTAAAAGTCAGAAGGTTCGACTAAACAGGTAGGACGTTCACCTCGTCACCATGTAATTCAACATTTTAATGTCTGATAGGCCATATTTTGATTTAGATGGGAAAAAATGTGCAGTTGAATTTCTTTCACATTTTATTTAAAGAGAGGTTTTGTATCCTTCAACAAAAAAAATTCTTAAAAATGATATTGAGGAAAAAGTTTTGTGTTCTACCTAAAAGAATTTTCTTAAAAACCGTCAGTACTGTCCATATACATACGTATACGTATTAGTTCATTTCGTAGTTCATTATGTTAACTGTTCATATGTATATTTGGTCAATTGTTAACCTATCATTGTACCAACATACCCCAAGTTGGGGGCTTTAGTAAAAGAAAAAAAATATTCAAAATTTCAAAGTAAAATTGTCTTGTCAGTTTTTTAATCAATGAAAACATTATAATATTATCTCCCAACACTTGTAACTCTTGTAATATGTTTGTTCCTATTTTGTTGACTAGTTTTAGATGTCTTAAAATTGAAAGATAAATTGTTTGTACTCTTAGACCTAAAATGAATAAAAGGTTTCATAGTTTTAAGTTAACTGATTACTAAGTACTTTTTGTTTGAATACATCTTCTTAAACAAGAGGTCCTCGGGCCTCAACACTTATCTGAGCAAATTTGGCTCTGCTGATCTTCAACTGATTTCCCCCTTGTAATCCTATTGTGGCCTTTCCCTACCCCTACGGGTCATAATTTGACAATTTAGAATTTACAGCAGTTGAGGATGCTTCTATGTAATTTTCAGCTTTTCTGGCCAAGTAGTAGAAAATGTGAAATGTTTACAGTCAGACAGACGGACAAACGATGGACAACGTGAGATCAGAAAAACTCATTTGAGCTTTTCAGCTCATGTCAGCTAAATAAATCGGGCATTCAAAGTCTACATAAATGGAAATTATACTGAGATTTTCATCATATTCAATGCTTTATAAATTATATTTTTCATCAATATTATGCTCATTCAATGACAATCAATAAAAAAAAATCCGTAAGAATCTGAAAAATACATGTAGACTGAAAATATGATAAGTATACCGTTCTTGTTGTCCAGTAAAAGGAAAACGAGGTTGGATTTTCAAAGTAACAGGTCTCGCCAGCTTCAAATCCACAGGAAATGGTTCCATAATCTAAAACCATAGGTACTCAAAGATTACATAGCTCACCTCAACGAATGTTGTCTTAAAGGAGGCTGGGGTGTTATTAAATTAACCATCAGATAGATCTTAAATTTTCAGATATGGTATCTTGAGCTGTCAACTATTATCTGGTAAAGGAAAAATTTATAAATTTTAGTTTTAAAATTTGATCATTTTTGTATATCTTTATATGGAACTCTTCTTCTAAAGGAGATCAAAATAGTCTGAAAATGGCCACAACCACCCAGCCCCTTTAAGTAAGGCAAAGTACCACAATTAACTAACATTCTAGAAGTTAACATCCCAAAATGCCCAATTTATGCATTTTTGATCTAATAAGGCTTGCAGTTACATAGAAATAGACCTATCCAAAAACTTTGAACATGAAAATGTAATTCAAAACTCTGAAGCATTTTTGAGGTTGTTCATCCGTTGATGCATCATTTCTGCAAACTTGGTTAATAGGCCTTTATTTCTTAGTTTCTTGATGTTAAACCTGCACCCATAAGGTTTACCTGGTCCATTATCTCGGAAATGTATGCCTCCGAAGCAAGTCTATCAGTATGCATTCTTAAAGGCTTCATCCATGCAGGTTTGGTCATAGGGCTCATAATTACTTGGAAATGAGAACTGCACCAAAAACATTAACATTAATCTGTTCACCCATCTGGAAAATGTAGGTCAGATCCAGCATCCTAAGCAAGTCTGGTAGTGTGCATCCTTATACATGTATGTATCATCCATGCAAGTTTGGTAATTTTAGGGCTCATAGTCACTTGGCAATGAGAACTGAACCAGAAACTTAACCTGTTCACTCATCCGGAAAATGTAGGTCAGATCCAGCATCCGAAGAAAGTCTGGTAGTGTGCATCCTTAGATGTACCATCCATGCAAGTTTGGTCACCATAGGTTTTACAGTTACTTAGAAATAAGACCTAGACCAAAAACTGCACCAAAAATGTTAACCTGCTCGCTCCAAAAACATAAACCTGGTCATTGAAATTGCAGCATCTGAAACCTCATCTGATACAATTAAATACACAACAAGCATGTTAAATGCATATGTGATCAATATAGGGCATATATCTACTTACAGAGAAAAAAGATGCAGAAACCTTAACCTGGGATGCCCACGCCCAGGGTATCACATAAGCTTCCCCCAACTTCGATGAGGGGAGATAAAATTACACGTAAAACTGAAATTTTCATATTTTATGTACTTTTAGGTCTCTACAAAAATGACGTCACCTTAAGAAGCAATATTTACAATGAACTCAAAAGACATTATTATCATAATTAGAGATTTATTATAATACTTAGAAAATATATCGCAGGGAATTGAATTTTAACCACTATAGTGGCTACCAACAAAACAATTTCAATACTATACATGTATATTTTAATTCTTATTGACAGTAAATTAAAGCCTACTGGCTTGCAGAAGGAAACACTATTTTACTTAAAATTTCGGTTAGCTTTGGAGCAAAAATAGACGTAACATCTCCCCCTCTTCTTTCCCATTCTAAAACGTTAACAATAACCACGTCGTTAATTGATGTTCATTGTAAAATCTGTTATACTATGTTACGGATATTTTACTTCGGGGGCTCTTCAATCAAAGATAAAAGAAGCTTATTTGCACATTTTACTGATAATTTGTAATTTTTGGTGAAAATTAGCTTTTAACCCCTACGACTAGGCCTAGTTTTAGAAACAAAGGACTGCATTTTTAAAAGTAAAATGTATTGATTTAAGGAATCACTGTCTAGTTAGTAGAGTATGCCAGGGCATCAACGATAGTTGGAAACATTGGTTAATTTGCATAACGGGCGAAGCCCTTTTTGCATAAATTATCCCATGTTTCCCACTATCGTTGATGTCCATGGCGTACTCTACTAACTAGACAGTGATTCTTTATATTTCCATTTCATTGTGAATAAAATTGTAGATTTAGACTTTAAAAATATAGACATAGATTTAATTACACGAGGACTCCGCTGCCAATTTCAATAGCCTTCGCCCACTGATGTCAAACACAAAGACAGCCGCACGAGATTTGCATGCATATTTGGCCTCCTCAGCTGCGTTAGACAAGAGGCAGACGCGCACGAGATTTGCATGTGTATTATGCCTCCTTAGCTATTGAACTATCGACCTGCCTAATTTACATTCCGGTAGAATTATCAAGAAATCAACTCTGCTAACTTTCTCAGAGTTATCAGAGAAAAAATATTAGAAAAGGAATTATTAAAGCACAACATTTATACAGCTTTAGTTATATTATTCATAAGTGACATTTTCCCTTTACATGTAAGCATTAAGTTTAATAAGATGCCACGATGCTCTAAAGGAGGAATATGCAAATTCTACCTATAAATTTAATTTAAAAAATCTAATGATAGTCTGTCAATATAAAAGTACATTCACGACTTATTATAGTATTATAAATGTTTTACCATTGTTTCCATGGCTTTTCACACCGACGCTTGATTTTATTTTAATAAATATTAATTATTGCAGCCATTATATAAATCGTAACGTTTTTCCTTTTAAGGATAGGTGATACAAACACATATTTTCTTTGGAGGAGACTTAATATCATGTCTCAATTTTAGAAAAGTGGATAATTTTTAGATTTTTTTCTCCTAAGAACTGGAAAATGAAATAGGCCAGGAAAATATTAGTAATATTTCAATAAAATAACATATATGGTCAAAATACACTCAGTAAAGGTTTACTGATGAAACCAAATTTCAGAATATATTATCTTGTTTTTTCTTAGAAATTGTTTATTATAAAAATATAGCCTTTTAATGAGGTCGATCTATCGATATATCGACTTCTTAGAAAAGCATATCTACCAAGCACGAAGTGCAAGATCTGTGTGTTCTTTTTTTTTTATATATATATATCATTGGATCAACCTCATCAAAGGGCTACATTTGTAATGTTATGTTTTTTCAGAGATAGACAAAACAAGATTTGAAATAATTGGAACAAGACACATGTTTTCTCTATTGTCTTTTTTAACTCTTGGAGTCTAGATATCAAAACAAATGAAGGTGTTTATAATGTAATTGTGTTTCCTTTCTATCTAGAGTAATGGAATTTATTTGTTTGTTAAACTGTATCTCATATTTTGATTTTTAGATAAGTATCTGATATGTTCTAATACTGGTATATGGTAGATTCTTTTTCCAGGCATTGATATGTCTTACTAGACATTACAAATCACCATAATTATAAATACCGTAGAATAAAGCAAAATTTTTAGCAAGGACTTAATTTTGGCATTATTAGCGAGGGTGCTGAGATCGTTAAAATTGAATATCGCAAAAACTTAATAGCATTTTATATGTAATTGCTTCTTACATGGGCATTTTTTATATAAAAATCGCTAAAATTGCATCACACTAAAAATAAAAAACCAGTTTTTAAGGACAAATCGCTAAATTTGCATCTCGCTAAAATTTCTACTTATGCGGAAGGAATTGAAGTGTGTATATATATATATATATATATATATATATATATATATATATATATATATATATATTTCAAAACATCAAGTCATACACTTTTTTACCTAATTTGAACTTTTTTGTTTTACAGAAAATCATTACCATTTTAAGAAACATCAAGTCGCTATGCATTTCAGAACCTTTAAATAGTAGCTCAAATCTACTTGATCATGTGATCAAGTTTGAACAAATCAGAGAGCTTGGAATAAATGAGAAAAATATTATAAATACTTATTATTGTTGCAATTTATATATAAGTATTTATTCATTGACTGTTCTGAAAAAAAGCTATATATGATTGTTTGTATGACTCTACTACTGAACAAAAACTTATCTCAGAAGAATATAATCCTGAAATGATTATCCTCAAAAGCTTTAGTTAAGCAAAATATCAAAATCATATAAAATTAATATAAGTAAAATTATAGCGGTAATTGCAAAAAAACTATACCAGTTAGGGTATCACAATTTTGTCCAGTGTAATTGGGATCACAGGTGCAGGAATAAGTGTCACCGACTCCATGACACGTCCCATGCTTACAAGGTTGTGTTTTGCAGGCTGAAAAGTATCAAAATACATCCATATATTTTACAAAACAATTATTTTTCTTAAATCTCAATATTTTGTTTACGAGAAAAGAAAATCACAATTTGGTGTAGCACGTCAATTTCACTCAGAGCGCAACGGTTACAGGTCTCTCGAGTGTTAAAAATTATTTTTTCTCTCGTAGGGAGGAGGCGTTGAAGAGAAGTGAATTCAAAAGACGCCACTTCTTTAACTTTTCCCAATCACGAATGCAAGGTGTTACAGAATATTAGGCCCCACTGTCCCGTTAGGGACTGATTTGTTACGGTATAATGATGCATTGAGATGGAAATATTTCCTTTTTCTTTTTCTATTGATACTGTAATTTCGACACTCGTAAATCATGTAAATATTGGAATTACTTTTATTTCGAAAAATTCTTAGTTTTGATATGCAAGATAATTACACTGTAAGCACGAATAACTATAACATGGAGCAATCATGTCTGAAGAAACTGAGGGGGAAAAAATTAAGACCTACGTGCGATTGCTAGTCCGTCGAAGTAAAGAATAGTTTTTAAAAAAATATTTGTCGTGAGACCTTGGGAGGGGGTGCTTAGTTTAAGTATAAAGCTTGTCAAGGTGAAATCCTACCTTTATTCAAGTCCTTCGTCGGTAACCTCATCCCCCCTTTTCAAGCAGAATTCTTTTCACATGATATAACACGACTCATAGACTAAATAGTGTACTCTAGTCAACTAAATAGTGTACTCTCGTCAACTAAATAGTGTATTCTAGTCAACTAAATAGTGTACTCGTCAACTAAATAGTGTACTCTAGTTAACTAAATAGTGTACTCTAGTCAACTAAATAGTGTACTCGTCAACTAAATAGTGTACTCTAGTCAGCTAAATAGTGTACTCTAGTCAACTAAATAGTGTACTCTAGTCAACTAAATAGTGTACTCGTCAAATAAATAGTGTACTCTAGTCAACTAAATAGTGTACCCGTACTGACATCATCCTAACAGTATACTGAGAATTCTAGATAGAACCTGTAACACAATGTAAGATATATCTTATGATAAATTTAAGTTCAGACAAAAAGCTGTAACAGATCTTAAGAACTTCCTAGTAAGTAATCACTCAGGTGCTGATATCCTGGACAGTAATATCAATAATGTTATATTCCTATCTACGAGTCTTGTTCAGCTTTAACTTATGTCTTACGACATGTGTTTGGAAACTTTTGTGAAACAGGTCCCAGAACCACGTGAATCTTCACTATCTGAGTAAAATTATGTAAGATTGTTATCGTTCATTCACTTTATTGTAGCCCTATCCTACCACGAAGGTCATGATTTGCACAATTTAAACTCGTCTCAACACCACTTGACTTCCATACAAATATGAACAATCATAGCTTTGCTTTTCAAAGATTTTTCTTATATTCTCTAATATGTTAAACTTTGATTGCCCATTGTGGCCAAACCATAACCCCGGTGATCATGATTGAACAAACTTGAATCTACACCACCTGAAAATGCTTTCACATAAATATGACCAATCATTGCTTTGCTGTTCTTAAAAAAAGTTTCTTTTTTGTTTTTTTTTTTCTCGTGTATATTGCTATGTAAAACTTTGATTGTCCACTGTGGCCCAATCATACCCCCGGTGTCATCATTTGCTTTGCTGTTCTAAAAAAGATTTATTTAATCCTATATATTCCTATGAAAAACATTGTGGCTGAACTACATATTCCCCCAATGGTCATGATTGAACAATTTTGAATCTATACCACCTTAAAATGCTCTCACATAAATATGACCAATCATTGTTTTGCTGTTCTTGAAAAGATATTTTTTCAATCCTATATATTCCTATGTAAAACTTTGATTTTCCATTGTGGGCCCCAACCTACTCCTTAGGGTCATGATTTGATCAAACTTAGACCTACACCCCTGCAGATGTTTCATATAAATACATGTATGACCAATCATGATTTCGCTATTCTTGAGAAGATTTTTGAAGATTTTTTCTACATAATACTATGCTGAACTTCAATCGTCCATTGTGGCCCCGACCTTCCCCAGGGGTCATGATTAAACAAGTGGAGAATCTAAACCACCCGAGAATGCTTCCACATAAATATAACCAATCATGGTTTTGCTGATCTAGAAAAGAAGATTTTGGAAAAGATTTTCCTTATATATTCCTGTGTAAAACTTTGTTCGTCAATTGTGGCCCCACCGTACCCCCGGGGGATCATAATTTGAACAAATTTGAAACTATAAACTAACTGACAATGATTCATCACGACTTTCATCTTTCCTAGAGTATTGGTTCTTGAGAAGAATTCTATATATCTAACAAATCAAAATTATTCATTATGAGCTTGATTTTTCTGTTCATGTTCTCATCCAAATTGATTTTTATTAGCCACTCAGTGCATTTCTACACCTCAAATTTTATACTTACGCAGACTAACGCTTGTCACTTCCAGAGAAAATCCTTTGCCAGCTGATGCAGAAGAAGCGAAAGTACTGTCAAATTTCAGTAACATTGTTGTGGGGTCGCCGTTGTCGGACTTTACATAAACCTCATTAGCTACTGTTCCACAGCGTCTAAAAGATAACATGCTAATTTTTATTCTCGAACAAACGAGTGTTGGAGCATCTTGTTCATAAATATGTTTTTATTTTTTAAAAAAAGAAAAAAAAAAGAAATATATTTTGCCAAAGATACCTGTGTGATTTGTTTTCAAAAGGTGATTGAATAAGTTGCATTTCTAAGCACAATTGAAAATTTCCCATAAAAAGCAAACTAGGTTTTGATATGTATGTTTTACCTTGGTCCTGTCTGTCCTAGCAGGTTATACTGTATCTCTAACCAGTGGCTACACGCTCCATTTTGCGTTGTTAAATCCATCTCCTTTATGGTCATTTGGACATTTTTTCCAGCCGGACCCTGCATGATAATTTGTAAAATTCTTATTTCTGGGAATCAAGATTTTAGGTAAGTTCTATACATATCTACCTAAAGTATTAATTGTAACCTTAATTTAAGGGTAACGGGAACAGATGTTCCCAAAATGGCCCTTTCTGTTTAGGCATTACTTTTTGCATTATAGATCTACACTCTATTTTTGAAAATAATATTTGGAAAACAATTCTGATAACGCCAATCAGATTTTAGTGCATGAAGATACACGTTTTCTAGATCACTCATACAGGTGAACAGTTTCTCACTATTGGGCATCTAAGAAATCAGATTGAAAAAATGGTCTCTGGTGAAACTTTAACTCTATTAGATTGCACTTAAAACAAAGGAAGAAAAAAAGCAGCACCATGACTCGACACTTTGGCAACTGCATTTGGACAAAATAATGATCCTAGCTTTAATCTCTTTTATGGCCGAGTTCCATCTCAATTGACTATAACTGTAGATCTAGTTTAAAAATCCTTTTGAATAAAAAATCACAGAAATTTAGTAACAGCGTTTGTTAAAACCAAAAGATGTGCATTGTATACTGTATACAGGGTTATTTTCGCCCCGTCTTATTTTCGCCCTTTCACACTTGCAAACAATTTTGCCCCGTTCTAAATTCGCCCAGTCATAGTTTTGTTTAAGAAATATTATTGTATTCTTTGAATTCGCCCCGTTTTAAATTCGCCCAAATGAGGGTAGCGTGAAAGGGGCGAAAATAAAACGAGGGCGAAAATTTCCATGTGCACAGTATGTCTGTAAAACATTTTACAGAAAACATATTAAAGGCGAAAGACAACTTTGAAATAATTTCACAAAAATATCTTTTTCAAAAACCTTGGCAACACTGTTCGTCAGAATCACAGAAAATCAACCAAACAACAAAAACAAATAAAGATACCTAGCTAGGTATTTTAGGTAGCAACCTTACGTAGATAGTTACATTGGATCAAACTAATAGACACAACTTTGAATAAAATGTTTACAGACAAACTGACAGACAGACAACTCTTGCATAAGCTCTTCTAAACTAGATCTAGTACAGCTAGTAAGAGAGATGCATTTAATTCAAATTTGCAAAATGGAAAAAAATAAACTAAAAGCTTTTATACCCACCTTCACTACCCAGACACAGTCTCTGCCCGTGGGATATGGGCCTCCATTGTTGAAATTAATCGTTGTCAATGTCTGTGTTTCTCCTTCTGCAAGGGTTATTGTCCCACCACAAGCTATATAACAAAATAAGTCTTAGTATCATGAACGGTATGGCTTTCAATAGTCTTTGGGTTTAAAAGTAATATCCAAAGAAGAAGCATTTGCTGAGACTGTAGCTACCGAAAAGCATGAACAAGATTCATCAAGACAAAGGTGAATGAGCAATCTCATGATAAACCTAAAAACAAGTTAATATATGTGAAGAAGAAGGAAGAAGGGATGATCCTGAAAGTTCGAGAGAAGAAATGTGCCTAGGAGGAGCAAGCATTCCCTGCCGAATGGCCACACCGCCGTATTAAAGCCATATTTATTGATTAGTAAGAGGGAATATTCCTTAGTGAAATTCTTGAAAACAAGTCTTATCATTTAAATGAAATATGCTGGTCAAAAAAAAACGACCCAAACGATGGGTTATATTTGCTTAGACATTCAAGGACCATACAAAAAGATATCGATATGCAAGCTATTTCAATTTTCCTCTTAATATTATAGCTCTCTTGGTTTTAAAATTCAACTTAAATTCTTATGCACAAAATGGTTTATTTACTTGTCCTCCAAACAAATTTGAAATTAGAACGCAGGAGGAATAAAATTTTGGAAAAACTTTATAGAAATGTTTTAGCATAGTATCCATGATAGCAGTGTAAAAACCAAACAAGCACACTGAATTTAATATCTATTGTATTCTTGTCTTAATACTGTTTGTCTGTACTTATAAAGTTGATTTAAAGGTCCAGATATTGTAATAAAATACTAGGCAATGCGTAAATTAGACAAAGTTGACCCATTGAGTCTTAATGATATTTCACCTGGATCAGTTACAGGTGTTTCACACAGTGTTCCAGTTAGCCCTCTAGGACAATGACAATCACAGGTATGTATGACAAATCCTCCGTTCTGACACGCCTTCAGGGGTTGTGTGCACGTTTCTAAAATTAAACATGAGTTGATAGTTGTTATTTCACATACATACCGAGTCTGTCCAAGTGATCGTCCATTGAAAACACACCAGCAAATTCAGAGTTGTGCATATCCCCTTGCTTTTGGTCATTTGTGGATGAGACGACATTTTTGCGACATATTTTGTCAAATATGAACGACCTATCATATATCATTTAGAAATTATTACCAAAGATGAACTTTTTAACAAGGTCAATTGTAAAGGTCAAGGGTTCAAGGTCAAGGTCACAAGATCAAAAATCATAGTGCATTTAGAAAGGTTTTGTCACAGGCAATACACAGATTTAATATGAAAGCCATATCTCTTCTCAATCAGAATTCATGAATCATGAACAAGGTTAAAGTTTTTGAGAACCAGGTCAAACTCAAGGTCCAGGTCACGAGGTCAAAAATCATAGTGCGTTTTAGGAAGGTCTTGTCACAGGTAATGCACATTTTTATATAAAAGTCCTGTCTCTTCTCATTCAAAAATTATGACCAATTCCAAGTATTGATTAAATCTTTTAAAAGTAGGTCAAACTTGAAGGTCAAGGTTGTGGCGTCAAAAATTATAGTGTATTTAGAATGGCCTTGTTACGAGTAACATATATGTGAAATATAAAAGCCCCATCTCTTCTCACTCAAAAGATCTGACCAAGGTTAAAGTTTTTGAACAGTAGGTTAAACATTCAGGTCAAGGTCACGAGGTAAATAATGATAGTGTTTTAAGAAATGTCTTGTCACAGGCAATACAAATCTCTAATATGAAATATTAAATTTTCTTTAAGTAAGTTAAACTTCAAGGTCACTGGGTCAAAAAGTATAGTGTATTTAGAAAGGTCTTGTCACAGGTAATATACATGTAAAATATGAAAACCACATCTATTCTCATTCAAAAGATATGACCAAGGTTAAACTTTTTGTGACGGACGGACAAACTGACAGACCGACCGACTAACAGACGGGCAGACGAATGAGATTTAATGTTCCCTCGCTTTCCCGAAAACGGGGAACAAAAAAAAATGTACGCATTTGCTTTTTGTAAAATATACTGTCGGCTCTCAGAGAGGGGGAGAGAAATAAATGATAATTTTAGTTATTAGAGAGGTTGAGATCTTAAACGTGTACGCGTACGTGTACTTGTGCTTATACTTGAACGTAGACGTTCACGTGTTTGTAATTTGTCTGTTGAGATTTTAATGACATGTAACAGTACATGGACACTGCGATCGCTGTCTTTTTGTTAACTATTTAAAAGTTTTGTGACGTCAGTTTGATTTGAGTTAGTGAGCAAAAAATGATGAAAATAAGTGCCTGTGAAACTAAACATCCTAAATAATAGTTAACGACTACAGTTTCACACATAAATTGAATAATGTTCAACATTAAAGCTACAAGTTTTCAATTACGTGTAGATGTCATTCTACAAGTTCTAAGAACGTGTAGCAATCTTGACGTCACTAAAATTGATGACGTAATACACAAGGAATTTAGGTTATTCCCCTTCTAGACGCACCCGTATACACGTACACGTTTGAAATCTCAATAGAGAGGTTTAGTTACAAGTGACGTAACAACGTGTACGCGTAACATTGACGTACACGTTCTATTTGACGTCAACGTCAATAACATGATTTAGTTATACGTACACGTGTACTTATGCAAATTTCGTGATTGAACAATAAATTAATTGAACGGCATTGTATTTATTATTTTTAATTTAGACAAATCAATGGTGAATTTTAAACATTACATTCCATATTTCTGGAGCAAAAATATTAATGACAGTAGCTAATACTGTACAAAAATACTCTTTTGGTGGATAATAAGTAGATTTTTTGCTTTGTATTAAGGTATATTCAAAAAACTTGATGACCTGATACATGTAATTTGAATGACCTGATATCTTTACTTTACAGACCTGATATCTTTAAATGAAATGGAATTGCTGCAAATATTCATATCTTATAAAGTTTAACACTAAAATCTGCATTATTTTCCTTAAAATATACCATTAGAATAAATCAGGTCATTGAAACCCATTACATCATTTAATTATATCAGGTCATTAAAAAATATCAGGTCTTTAGTACTAACTAAATCATCAGGTCAATTTTTTTCTAAAATTCTGGCGAGAATATTTGTCTCAAAACCATTTAAGAAAATATCAGGTCTTTAGTACTAACGAAATCATCAGGTCAATTTTTTTCTAAAATTCTGGCGAGAATATTTGTCTCAAAACCATTTAAGAAGTTTATTTTTTCTAAAAGAATTAAACAAAATATAAGGTCATTCAAGACCTTCCATTGAAAGTCATTTATAGAAATATCAGGTCATTCAAAATATCAGGTCAACAAGTTTTTGTAAGAACACCTTGAAACAAAGAAAAATTCTCAGGGTTTTCTCCTAAAAGTGTATTTTAGAATAATATCAATAATTTTCGCCCAAAAAATTGATTGATTGTATATTGTTTAACGTCCGTCTCGAAAATTTTTCACTCATATGGAGACGTCACCGTATGCCGGTGAAGGGCTTCAAATTTTGACCTTTACTCGGCACTCAGGGCCATTGAGCAGTGAGGGATCTTTAACGTGCCAACGCCTGCCGCTGACACGGGGCCTCGGTTTTTGAGGTCTCATCCGAAGGACCCCCCAAAAATTGAAATAGAATGTTTAAATTGATAATTTTAAGTGATAATTTTTTCATCAGGTCAAAATATCAGGTCTTTAGTATGTTCCCGAGAATGTAGCTTTACTGGTTTGTACTTATAATAAAGGAAGAGAAAAGTAACAGTTGGAACATAAAACTTGACAAAATCAATGCTTAGAATGATGATCCTTGATTTAGTCTCTCCTATGTGGAAAGATTGCAATAAGATTTCAACCGTGACGTATTTTATATAACGATACTCAACAAAATAAGATTTTAACAACAAACAAAATGCATGGATTGCATTAGAATGGGAATAACTGATCTTATAATTGGGTATTTGCGACCGTAAATACTGATTTAACGCTTGCAAACATCCGTTCTACTTAAAACAAAGGGATCACTTAATAAAATTGTATCAGTTCATCGATTTCAAATAAATCATGGTGGTCAGCAGCTTTTATACAAACATTTTAATTTACCTGATCATTCTATTTTGTCTATGAAAGTACTAGTATATTGTTTAACGTCCCTCTCGAAAATTTTTCACTCATATGGAGACGTCACCGTATGCCGGTGAAGGGCTTCAAATTTTGACCTTTACTCGGCACTCAGGGCCATTGAGCAGTGAGGGATCTTTAACGTGCCAACGCCTGCCGCTGACAGGGGGCCTCGGTTTTTAAGGTCTCATCCAAAGGACCCCCCAAAAATTGAAATAGAATTGAAATAGAATGTTAAAATTGATAATTTTAAGTGATAATTTTTTCATCAGGTCAAAATATCAGGTCTTTAGTATATCAGGTCTTTAGTATGTTCCCGAGACTGTAGCTTTACTGGTTTGTACTTATAATAAAGGAAGAGAAAAGTAACAGTTGGAACATAAAATCTTACAAAATCAATGCTTAGAATGATGATCCTTGATTTAGTCTCTCCTATGTGGAAAGATTGCAATAAGATTTCAACCGTGACGTATTTTATATAACGATACTCAACAAAATAAGATTTTAAAAACAAACAAAATGCATGGATTGCATTAGAATGAGAATAACTGATCTTATAATTGGGTATTTGCGAACGTAAATACTGATTTAACGGTTGCAAACATCCGTTTAACTTGAATCAAAGGGATCACTTAATAAAATAATATCAGTTCATCGATTTCAAATAAATCATGGTGGTCAGCAGCTTTTATACAAACATTTTAATTTACCTGATCATTCTATTTTGTCTATGAAAGTTAGAATTCTTGAAAAGATTTATCATCACACTAACAGTCCATCGCTGAGTAGACCCTTTCCGTAGACAACGAGAAGAATTCTGCATTTTGTTTGTTGTTTACGTCTTATTTCGTTGTGTTTTGTTACATGAAATACGTCACGGGAATTGTGTTTTCCGTTGCTCTATTATGACGTCGCAATAAAAAGCTTTCTCTCTTGTTTTATTGCTCAAACATCAGTGCACTAGTCAATCAAAACGTGTTTTACTAAGCAATTGCATTAGAATATCATATTTTCATCAAATAACAGTGGTTTTCCACTTTTTGTTGTGTCTCCGAAAAATTTACACACCGTGGAAAAAACGAACATACCAATTACAAATTACTGAACTAAATTCTAATATTCCAATAGATTCAAGTTGTTTGAATGAACGTTTTTGTTTTTGACCAAAACATCATAAGACGCCTCGGTCAATATTGATATAATGAATTTTTTTCTAGTGAATAACAAACCCTATTTTAACACCAAAAGAGTCCATAATTGTATAATATTGTTTGAAAAATATTTTAAAATTTTGTTGTTCTTTTAATCGCTTTGGTTTTAGATTTATGTAATAAATAACATCACAGTACTGTTTTGATCTCGTCCGTGGTATCAGCCCTCGGATGGTCTCGGCCTGCGCCCACAGGCTTGGGCCGATACGACCGTCTGGGCTTATTCCAGGACAGAGGTCAAACCGGCAGTGTGATATTCTATATATCCGATTGACAGCCAGTGGATAAGCGTTTTATTATACTGATGTATATAATAATTCTTGAGGGTTGGATTAACCTGGTACTACAGTTTTACAGGCAAAATTAAAAGAAAGACAAGAGACCCACGGGCCTTATAGGTCACCTGAGTATTGTGTAACAACTTTCAAACAATTAACTTTGGTTCGTGTTTTAAACCAGAGACATGAAATTCCCAATTCACAATTTTGAAAGAGGCACCGTTGCATATCATAATTATAAACTTACCATGCTTACTCTATTTACTTAATACCCAGAGGTAGATCAGATTAACAAAGAAAAAATGCAGTTCCACTTTATAACCAGTTTTGCACACATATTTCAAAA